CATGTTAGAGAAGCACAGATTATTACTTTGGGAAAAAGTTTCAAATCTGAACTTTAAGAACATACTGATTTATGTGTATGACACTGGCAAACACCAACTCCCAGGTTTTGTTCTGAGCTTTGGGGGGTTTTTGGTTGGCTGGGGGAGAGGGGAGAGGAGTTTGTGTTTGCTTGATTCGGTTTGCTTTTTTTTCTCTCAGTAATTTCCATCTCTTACATAGTGTGCAGATCACACATAGTTGCTACAGCTTGTACAGCTCTTTTCACCAGAGTGTGCGTACACAGTGAATAGATCTCCATGCAGATATGGAAAAACAGCACTGCAAGAAATAAAAAAAAAGCTTAGGACAAACAAAGTAGGTGGAAAAAAAAAGAACAAAAAACCCAAAAGACATAATGGAATGAAGTCAGATTTCTTAGGAGATGATAGATACTCTAACAGATTCTTATTGACAGAGGGCACATAGATCTTGATTTATATAATGGGACACCTAAGTAGATCCTCTGGAAAATTTACAAGAACACCTGCCTGCAGATACATAGTACATTTGAAAGAGTAATATAAAGCTATAAATACTCATGGCATGACCTCATTCATATTGTTCTTTCATAGGACTCAGATCTTTAGTTCAACAAATAAAGGAAGAAAGTGACAAAAGGAGGAAGGACTGTCTTTTGGTTAAGAACTGGAAGACAGGAAACCTGGATATTATTTTTGCCACTTCCACAGAAATCCCTTATGGCAAACTTTTCCTGCATTGGGGTATCCAGTTGAGGAAGTGAGACTGAGAGATGAAATGTTACAAAAGACTTAACCACAAGTACCTAGATTTGAAAGGCTTGTCTACTTTCTCTGATTCATTCCCTTCACCTGAAGGAGTGACAAAAATTCTCATCTATACCCCAATGATAATGCAAACTTATACCAGAAAACCACAAAATTATAGCACTGAAATCAGGGAAAAGGAACTATAGACACCTCTCTTGGGTTTATCTTCCTGGTCCTCATATTCAAAGTATTGACCTTTCATGAACAATCAAAAAACTCTCAAACATTTAAATAATCAGCACTGCCCTTTTAATGCAAGTTGAAATCATAACCACCAGTATCATCATTGATTTTTGAAGCTCTAAGGATGCCTAGACAATGTATTAAACAGTCCAGCAGCATTGCATTTCTGACGATCAGGAAGAAAAATTCACTCTGCCCCCCTGCCCGCTTCATTTCTGAGAGTACTCCCAAGACATACAGGCCAAATTTCAAGCTCTTTCATCAAGAGTAAGGTTTTGTGCTTGGTTTTTTGTTTAGTTGCTTGGTTTTCTTTGCTTGATTTGTTTTTGCTTAGGTTTTGGTTGTTGGTTTGTTTGTTTTTTTTTGGGGGGGGGGGTTGGTGTGTTGTTTTTTTTTGATTGTGGCAGTTGTGGTACTTTTTTACTTAATTTCCATAGAAACCTTTATTCCTCTTTAGAAAATGTCTCATCATACTGTATTTCTCACAATTGCCACACTGAATTTAACATGTAATCCAAGAAGCAAAAAACTGTGTCCTATTTCACTTTGTTATAAGCACTTTTTATTTAGCTGAATAACTTCAGATTCAGCACCCCAAATGCTGAGTTTACAATCCAATCTAGAAAGTACAAGAAACCATGACTACAGTGAAAATCAACTGTGCAAATTACAATTTCATCTTAAAGAAAACAAAAAAGCCAAATAACTTTTATTATACAAGAGGAGGGGCAGGGACAGAAGAGAAACACAGCTTCTACATTGGCTTTACATCTGGAAAAATTCACCAGAAACATGGAAAAACAATACTAATAGAAAGATGTGAAGAAAGGGTCACAACATTTTTCAGAAGCTGTACTGAAATAGCTGTACTGCAGAATGTGGATATATATGCATACCTAAGGAAAATATACACACTACACATGCTATAGCGAACTGGCCATCACTGATGGCAACATTATCTTTCATGGTCCTGCAAAGTGCTCTACACAGGACTACTGACATTTTCTGGAGAGTAACTAGATCAATTTGTTTCAGAAAACTGATTTCCAAATGTTTTCTCTCCTGAGACACAAAACTATCACTGATTGTAAGTTCTTAACTCTTTGAAACAGGAAAATAAAGTTCCTATAACAGTAATTTGGTTGGATTTCTTTTCGCCTCCACCAGATACTGTGCAGTTTTAAATACTGTATCCATAGCAATCTAGTTGCCCATTAGAGAAATTAGGTCTCTCAGTACATTAGAAAACCACTAGAATAGTGACTCAGTACTCTAGAGGCTCTCCAATACAAGCTGTGAATTCCCACAAAATCTGGGCATGAAGAAGAGCATAAACAACAACTCATGCAGCAGAGAGATTTGGCTTAAGGCCTCAGTTCTAATTTCCTTATACAGACAGGATAACTGTTGACTAGAACTGCTGTGGAAACACTTGGAATCAGTTTGTGTACATATGGTACACTTTTCATTTGGAGACAGGTATTCTTTGGGGATATGTCTACTTCTGAAACAATCTAACCTAAACATGAAACAAGACATGGTTGTGATGCTGCACAGGACTAGAATCAGTTGGATTGGTGTTAACTTTTCCCTGTGACAGAACACAACAGTACATGCCTTCAAGTCCCTCTCACAAAAAGGAAGAGCATGAACTGTAATTCTGGGACAGACATACATTCTAGGCTTGGTTGCAGGATCAATGAAAATATATAATACTTGCATCTTGTATTTTGAAACTTGACATGACCCTTTTAAATTCCCTATAGGAACCATATCACACCTTTATGTAATCCAGAGAAACTTAATCTCACATAAATCCCATTTCTTTGAAAGTGCTGTTATGTTGAGTGTTAAAAAGAATAATCAAGAGAAGCATTTCGTACAGTTCCTGGATTTTATTGATCTAGTCCACACTATGTCCTTTCTGAAAAAATCAGGGTAAAACCACATTTCCACATTTTCAGTTCCAGCCTTCCCTGTGCCTTCACACCCGTGACCACTGACAAATTCAGTCTGCACATTCTGTTGCATGGGCTTTCTCTGAAACAGCCCTCATCAAAAGGCAAAAGGATTCTCTTTCAAAACACATGTAGAAAATAAGAAGTTTATATTTTCTTGGGGGTGGGGAACTGTATTTCTTTATTTTTAAATTTTACCATATAGAATTGCCCTGATGAGCCAACCTGTTTGCCAGAATATAGTGCTTACTACATAGCACTTCTCCAGATCACTTCTTGTGCTAAGATACATCATAGTGCAGAGTGGATGTAAGGTGAAATGGTTTTGTTCACGTAGTATGGCAGAGTTCTGCTTCCCTGAATGTAGGAGAACTGACCTGAAGGCAGTTTTCTTTTCCAGAAATCTCTAGCTTACATAATACAGTGCTTTCAGTTCTGTGCTGCTAACTTTAAGAGCTGCATACTACTGCACATTTCCAGTCTGCAGCTGACTTCCCCATTTTTTGTATTGGCACACAAAACTGGCCACCTTCAACCCTTGCCATTGACAGGACCTACTGCCTTTAGTTCTGTTTGCAGCTAGTTTTCTACTACAGTAAGAGACTTCACTGGCCCTTTTGCCAACCTATATTCTTGGTATAGCAGTTGGCTTTAACAGTTTCTTTGACTTTTTACCCAGGATTCAGCTTCTGGAACCCAGTAGAAGCAAGCAGTTAACCTGGATGTCTGGCACTTTATCTGACTATTGGATTAGCCTGAGCATTTCCACGGTAAAGTCATTAGTCTTTCTTCTCCATTATGTGCATCTGAAGTAATATTCCATAGCTCCATCCCATGAACAAAAATTAAACTCATAAGTATAATAGAACACCTCATTACTGTTTATTCTAGTCCACTCCATGCTTGGCTGTTCAGGACTTCTAGGACTCACTTATTTCCAAAGCAAGTTTTGGCTAGAATTTAATGAACACTACCAGTTACAGTTATAGCTAGATCCTAATAAACAGTACCTTGGCACCTGGGATCCCAAAACTATGTTCCTCCACATAGCATTTCTTCCAGAAGGCAATACACTCATGCAGTCTTACTTTGACTGTGAGCTTAATGGCATTACCAAAGTATCTGCTAGAAGACTTGGGTAGGAAAAGGTGGAGAAATATAAAATACCTGATGAAGAAAAGCATCTCATTTTGAGACTGCATGTCAGCAGCCAGTTAATTACAATAAAATATTACAACCTGACCTGGGAAAAGACTAGAAGAAAGACTGAAATTTAAATCCTTTTTATTTCTGCATTCAGTAGCCATACACCCCCCCCCACAAAAAAAAAAAAAAAAAAAAAACCAAAACAAACAACCCATAAGCAAGCAAAAATAAAATAAATTGAAAAAAAAAAGCCCAACCAAAAAAAACCGACACAACACAAAACCAGTTGTTCCACACATGAAGTCTGTAGTTCTATGAGAATGCAAAAGGTTATTGAATTATTTTTTTCTTTTCATGGAATGTCCATTTTGCTAGAGTGAAAATATACTCTGCAGATACAGCTACTAGATGCCAACCAACAGCCAGATTTTTAAAAACAGTTGATTAGTAGAATCAACAATGTCTCTGGTCCCACCAGGGCACCAGAGACTGGAGAGATTATACTATAAACATCATATCACATACCATATTGTATACCTGAACCTGAAGAAAGTCATCCAGGTTAAAGAAATTTTTATTTATAGTGTTCAGCAGTTTTCACAGAGTACAGTAAGTTCCAGTGATTTCCATCATGACAGAGAACTGATCCAGTAAATAGAACCACATCTCTACTGCAAACATCCATTTAAAATGATGGCTGCATATTCACTGTCACAACTTACCAGACTTCAGGTATGCAAATTTGCAAATGCCTAGAGAAATGCATTCCAGATTTCCACATTAAAAGTGAGGTTTTAAGCATATTTCGATCCTCAAAGGAAAGTGCAGCTGCAGCCTTAGAGACATTTAAGCGCTCGAGCCTGGATGACAGAGTGCACCACTTACCGCTGAACTGGTAATGGAAGGGAATCTAAGTGGTCCTCAGCCTTAAATGCCATATTTATCCTGTTCTTACATGCACTTCTCCATAGGCTGGAATCTAGAAAGAAAGCAAACACTTGTTTAGTAAACATAGGGAAACTCAGGCCTCTTCAGTCCAGGGTGGCATGGCATTCTCCTACTGATCTGTGGAGCTCATTATAAACAATTCAAAAGCCTCTCCCTCAGGCTACCACACAATTCCAACAGATAACAAAGGCCATTAAGAACATAAGCAACACAGGGTCCACATATTCCTGAACTTCCTGGACTACTGCACAGATCATAGCCATCTGGGCTGAACATTTCTAAGTTATTATTTAGCATCATTTATTTTGAATTAACTTGAACTATTAGCATGATTGTAATTCTTCAGATTATTGTGATAGAGACTGCAAGAGAAAGCAAGTGTATGCTCATGTGAATTCAGGATCATTTAGTACTACATATAGAGAAAGGCCCTTGATGTCTAAGTCACTGAAGTATGGGGTCCTTCCACGTTAAACAAGTTTGTTTTTTTCTATCAGTTTGAAAAGCTCTATACATCTCTCCTCCATGTTTTTCCTTTCTACCTGGTAACTAAGAGACACATCCAAACACTATTGTCGGAGAAAGAGGCAAGAAAGGAGGAAGAAGCTCCTCATTTTCACGCACACATAAAAAGTGCCATCTCTCTCCCTCTACTTTTAATTTGTCTGTCTTACATTAGGGCCTTACTTACTATAGGTCAATGTATATTCTCAACACAAGCCAGAGAGGATTTATTCTACTGAGAAAGGTGAAGTCATTCCCACTCACCTACCTGGCCAGAGGAAAACTAATGTAATAATAGAATATATTTGAAGGAAAAAGATTAATCCATGACTCAAGAAGAACTAAGAGATGAATGAATGAATTTGGAGAAAGAGACAGGAAGAGTGGGAAAAATTCTGTTTTCGCAGATCCAGAGAAAAACCCAAGATCAATGGCTCTCACTCTTGAAGAAAATACTTTACACAGGAAATTGATGCTGTTCGTGTCACCAGCAAGGCAGAATTTTTTGATGTAGCCACTACTGAAATTCTGTCATTTGGTTATTGTCTACATTCTGCAAGCTGAGTCAGCCAACATTTAAGATATTTGCCACCCTAAATTGTTCCTAATTGACACAAGCTGGTCCTCAGTGTCTCTCCCAGCAAACTGATCTCGTTGTTAATGTATGTTCTTGTCCTTTCTCCCTGCCCCGATCTCACAAACTGTCCTGAGTACATTAAAGTATTACAACCAAAGTTATGCATTCACATGCTCTGTCCACTGACACTTGCTTACTTCTGCACTGGTGTTACCCTGAATCATCTTAGTCCATGCATCTTGTGAAGCAGTATATTGAAATCTGTGAGAAGAATCTGTTTAGATAAGAAAGGTGGTGTGTTACTGAATTCTCTGATTTAACAAGATGGCAGATATTTGATAGATTTTGCCTGAAAATTCATATGCCCAAGTATGAAGGTATTAGGATGTATCCTTCTGCTCCCATGACACATCAAGATCAGAAAAGCAAACTTACTGTTCTGATGCTTTTTTGAAAACATTATCATGTGATGTGGAGATTTCATTAACAACTGGAATAAACAGGCTATCTCCATTTATTTTTACTATTAGATTTTTTTTGTCTTTATAAAAAATGCTTAAGATGGGCTACTTCCAATAATTATCATGATTACCACTGTCTTCATTTGGAGAAGATACCATTAATCAAAGATAAACACATCTGCATAAAATCTTAACCTCCAAGATGAAGTTTCCTCTCTTAAATCCTAGTGTGTAAAGGACTGAGTAAACAGTCTTTCAGCCTGCAGAAGTACAGACTTCATTGACACTAGCTATCTTTTTCTGCTCAGCATCAGGCACAGGATTTACCTTTTTATGCTACCAACACAAAATCAACATCTTCCCTCTGGCAAGCTCAAGCTACTTCACTATTAGCTCAGTTTACTAACAACTTCTATTCATACAAATCAAAACATCTGCTTGTACTCCATTACTTGTGACCAATGACAATGTACACAGACATAAATTATATTATTGCATGTCATTGTTCCCCATAAATTAGAAACCTGACAAAAATGCAGTTTTTTATACACTGCCTTCCCACAAAACACACATTTATATTATGGCCAAGAGCCTTTAAAACAAGATCAACTCCTACTTAGAGTCACTTATGCTCCAGGAACAATAACAAAATGCTGCACCAGTATCTTAACCAAACAGCTTACACCACAATTAGATATTAGCTCAAATATTTAAGCCCATGGTTACTGTTGACAACATGATGAAATGCTCTTCCCAAGCACCTGGAAGTCTGCCAAGAGACAGAAAAGTGCCACACTAGCCCACCTAAACCCGTGACTACAAAGGAGGTTGGAGAAGACCCAGTGACTGATATGGTAACAAGCTTCTGGTCATGTTCAGAATGGCTCCTGCATATGCTGGGAAATCATGGTGCTCAAGTGTGCAGACAGTGTTCAGTTTTCAGTGTTCTCATTCACCTTTCCCAGTAAGAAAAAGGCAACTGTATTTCCTAGTAAAGATCCTGACAGGACCGATGAACCCTTCTGTTTACTTAACTTTGCTTTTTATTTTATTAAAGGTCACAACACAGTGTTGAGTTCTAGACAACATTCCTAAAAGGAAGGTCTCCTAATATAACTGACTATTTAGGTTATTTCCTAAGCACCACCTCAAACCAAACAAAAAAGCTTTCAGAGTATCAAATATTTTGTCTTCCACAAAAACAAACAAACAAACAAGAAACCCAAACCAGAACAGGTTGTATGCACTCAAGGTTACAAGATTGAGACATGTCTTAACCTTTTCCAGTAGCTGCTTCCTCACAGATGGTGGAAACAGCGTGACTGCAAGCAGAGCCACAGATCTGAAACAGTGCCTGAAGTCAGACACCTTGCTCCTAATGACCATTTGAAAGATGCTCCTCGGACTTAATTGCATAAAAACTTATATATACTCTTTGTTATATGCTACACACATATATACATGCGCTCACATTTATGAAGTGTATACATACTAATAGCCGATGTCAGCAAAGTTGTCCCGGAGAAGTTCATGGTTATTTCCTCTGGCTTCAGTAGCCACTGATCAAGGTACACAGCTGATCAGAGATGCTGTCCAGGTAAACTTGTACAAAAAAATAATGCTATTTGTAGTTCACAATATTGGTCATTTTGGTACAAGCCTTGGTGACACTTAAGCTGAAAAAAGTCACTCTTGGACTATTATAAGGGTTTTTTTTAATATCTTACATAGAATTTTACATAAATTTTTGCACATAGACTTGTACTGAAATTATAGATAATGACTTATAATTGGTTTAACTCTTTTCATAGACAACCAGTGTGTGTATGTGGAATTAGAGATATTCAAGGCAATCCCAGGCACAGCTACACAGCTACAGGTTGGGCAAAGAAGAGATTCAGAGCAGCCCTGTGGAGAAGGACTCGGGGGTGTTGGTCGATGAGAAAATGAACATGAGCAGGCAGTGTGAGCTCACAGCCCAGAAAGCCAACTGTAACCTGGGCTGCATCAAAAGAAGCATGACCAGCAGGTCGAAGGAGGTGATTCTGCCCCTTGGTTCTTGTGAGACCTCACCTGGAGTATTGTGTGCAGTTTTGGTGTCCTCAACATAAAAAGGACATAGAACTGTTGGAATAAGTCCAGAGAAGGGCCACGAGGATGATCAGGGGACTGGAGCACCTCCCATACAAAGATAGGCTGAGAAAGTTGTGGCTGTTCAGCCTGGAGAAGAGAAGGCTGCGTGGAGACCTCATAGCAGCCTTCCAGTATCTGAAGGGGGCCTATAGGGATGCTGGAGAGGGACTCTTCATTAGGGGCTGTAGTGATAGGACAAGAGGTAACGGGTTCAAACTTAAACAGGGGAAGTTTAGATTGGATAGCCTTTGATAATTAATAATCACCAGAATGAGAAGAACATGTTACCTATAAATAATATGGTTAACCTGAGAATAAGAAGTCATTAGCTAAAAGTCATTTCAGACTAGATATCACCTGATTAATATGAACAGCTCCTGCCTGTAGCACAGGACAATCTCTGTTCAGCCAAACAGTGCCTGTCCTTATTTTATAATTCTGGGAGTCTGGGAATTGTTAGTTATTATCCTCCTGGTACACAGAATAACTGATAATGGAATATTACAAATCAAATTAAGAGCAAAATTCTGACAGCTTTTATGTGACAGGTCAGAAAGTAAATACATACACTCTGTCCTTCAGCAACACATCTGGTCCATCAGAAGTTTTTCACACTAACCATTTCAGGACTCAAGATCCCATTGCTGTTTCGCATTATAACAGGCTTATACAGGCATGAATTAATTACAGTAGTAAAAGCCAACTCAGAATTAAGATGGGTGTCACAAACCTAAGCAGATATAAAACCAGGAGTAAGAAATAATGAAGAGTTCTTAAAATGATGCATTCAAATGGGTTGTATTAGCATGGGATCACATACACAGATGTATGTACCACATTCCTAGAATGCAAAATTAAAACTAGATGAGAAAGAGGTGGGAACAGGCACTACCTGCATAATTCATTTTTGGTAGCTGCTGTTGCAGAACCAATAATCTAAAGGAAGCACTGCTGAGTAGTTCATGCCTTACACTTCAATTGCAAGCTGAATCCATTTTCACTTATACAGGGTTTTATTTTTAATGCATATTTCTTCCTATTTTTTCTCTCTATTTTCTGAAGTGAGAGGAGCTCATTTTAAACAAGTCTATCTTTGACAATATCCCTTTTTATATATCACAGAATGACAAAACGGTTTGGTTTGGAAGGGACCTTAAAAATCATCTAGTTCCAACCCCCTGCCATAGGCAGGAACATGTTCCACTAGACCGGGTTGCTTAAAACTCATACAACCTGGCCTTGAAAATATACATATATATAAATATATATATATGTGTCTGTACTATATTACATAATATAAATACACATGTCATTTTAAAATATACATTCATGCAAACTGAAGTCTGTACTACTTTGGTATCCTTTTTTTCTCATCTTTGCCATGCTGTACACAGCTATATCTTAGAAACATACAGGGGAGATGGAAGAGAAGCAAATAAAAACCTGTCTCAGTTCAAATAGATCATCCTGAGACATAGAGATAAAAAACATTACTTTGTAAATATTAAGACAGAACAAGTGCAACATTTCTAACTGCAAATACTGGGTGGGAAGAGGGGAGGAAAAAAATATAAAAAAAATAAGAAAGATAGCTGAAGCCAGTCCTATTCATATGCATACAGAGTTTGATTCCTTCATTTACTTTATGGTTTTGGAGCCTTCAGAACATTCTCCTTGAATGTATACAATTTTTAATTTATAATAACCACAATGCAAAACACTGCTTTTAAAGCAAAGGATGTTGGATAGCTCATTCAATTTCTTTGTTTTAGCAAGTGGATCATATGCAAACACACTAAGTAGAATATCTGCAATGCAAGCAGAAGATCTAATTGAACTGGGACAGGAAGCATAGACCCTGTTACCCAGGTAATCCAGTTTTCTCCATGACACAGATCAGGAATGTCATCATATGCATTACAGTTAGTCCTTTTGCTAAGGCATGGGTTTTCTTACAATGTATCTCTAGCAAGCTTTCCCATTTAGGTATAAATTTCTAGAAAGATAGCATTTACATTATCACAAACTACAGTATGAAAATATTTAAACAGGTAATAGAGAAGGGCATTACAGATTTTAATCTTTCTCCCCTTCCCCCTTAAAATTATTTTTGTCAAAAAGCCACTGGACTCAACACTTAGTTGACATCTTTTTTAAAAACAAAAATCTTATCAATGAAAGTCTTTAAAATCTCCCCATCTGGAGGTGGCACACCAATTTAAATAGATGGCAGTATTATGGAAGCTAACTGATTAGTGGCCACATTTCTAGCAATTAGCATTTTAGAGGCAGTTTCACTGGAAAAGAATTTGCTTTTGAGGTTCAGGAACTGAATAATAGGTGGCAAGTTGGTGCACTCCAGAGCTATATTTTATCTTTTATGTGATACAGAATAATCACCATATAAAAATGTTTATTGGTGCTCAGAGCAGCATTAACGCAGCTTGCTACCCTGAAATGCTGAGAAGTACAGTTCCCTGTATTTACACTTCCCTTGGTTTCTGACAGGCTGCATAGTGCTTTCCCTCTCCCTTCTTAAAATAAACCAAGCAGCAAATTTAATGTCGCCTGCACCAACATAAATCTCAATTCAAATGCTCACAGTAGGGGCATCCCTGTTCCTGGTCACGACCTCTTGGTTCCAGAGGTGTTTCTGAAGAGAAACAGACAGGCTTTAGCTGTTTGATTTGCGTACTGGCTCTCTTCAATATGATCGCTCTCAGCCATGGCGGCACCTGCATCAACAACCCCTACGTGGTACAAGGGTTTTCCTCTTCGAGACACTCAGCAGCTGTCAGACCAAAAAACAAGTCCCTCCCCTCTCTACTGTGTATTAGGTTTTGTTTATTTTTCTCCGCACCAACTAGATATAAGGCAGCAGCAGGGCACACACCAGCTGCAGGTTCGTTACCTCACAGGTGTGGCTCTGAGGGCCTGCCCACCACATGTGAGGGAACCCCCAGCTGCTGCCACCGGTTGGAACTGGTTCCAGACAGCCCTGAGGTAAGCCCAGCCAAAACTGCACAAACAGGGCAGCAGCCTTGGGGCTGAGCCCAGGAGGGGTCTGAAGCCTCCGCGAGGGGGGCTGAAAGGAGGCCGCAGCCACCCTGAGGAGAACTGTGAGGAAACGACTGCCGGCATCACCTCAGCCTCGAGGTCTCCCCGAAAACAGTGGCTGCTGAGGACAGATTGGAAGCTCCATCATACTTCTGCCAGCACCTGTGTTATGGATCAGAGGTTTGTGTTGATTGCCCATAAATAAACTCAAGTGAAAAGCCTCTGATTTGGTCTGATTTCCTTTGACACCATAGCTGCATGCAAACAACATCCAGTCTAAGGGATTTCATCTTCTCAACAGGAGGTAGGATCTTCTGTCTTGCCAGTCTCTGTGTTAGATCAGAAATAAAAGGGCTGTTTTTTCAGCCATTATGTAGGGCACAAAAAGATAGTTAGCGGAGATCGTTATACAAGCCTTTACAAGTGTAGACTATACTGCTCAGAAGTGCCAATAGAATATCAGGGTTTTTTCTTGTTTGTTAACTTGAGGCTTCCAAGTGTAATGAATCCTGGGCTGTAACTGCATTACTTCCCCTACAAAAATAAAAACAAAATCCAAAAGGAGCTTAAAATGAAAAGACAAAAGAAAATCATCTCCCTATCTAGGCAGGAAATAGAGAAACAAGAAGTTGACTTACCCAAAGTTGAATGTGAGACAAGTACAAATTGAAACCAAATATTCCTAGTTCAATACTAGGAATACTAAATAAACACATCGAGAAGACAACAATATTGTTTTCTAACAACTTCAGAGAAGGGAAAAGAGTAAGGAGATACACAAGTAGCTCAGTTGTTGCAAGGAAATACATTAATAATACCTTTGCACATGACTGTATATATCTCTTTACTGTAATGGAAGGATCATATCTTTCTTAATACCCATTTTATTCAGACAGGTAGTCTAAAAAACATCTTGACTTACACTGATACTCCTCTAAAGAACAAAAGAAAAAAAAATCTGACATTTTAACAGAGATGAGCAAAATAATATTATTAATTCACATCACAGCCCACACTAACTGAGTCTCTATTGGAAGTACCACAAGGCATTGAATGGTAAACAGTGGTGATATTTTCACAATATTTGCCATTAAGGTTTTCATTTTACAGAGTTAATATCCAATTGCACCTTTTTTTGTCATAAATCTGAAGACCTTAAAACCAGCTTTAGGCCAACACAAACACATATTTACCTAGAAGTAAACATAAACACAAAAGGCTAAGAATAGGTGACTCTAGTCATTGAACATGCTCTCTATATGAATTACCAATAAACTTGCTACTTCTACCACTAACATCTCTCATATTTTTCCCCTTTCCTCTACATATTGGGGAAAAGAAAGGAAAGGACATCAGAGCACTATATAGAAAAGTTAGAGTGTAAGAAAGGAAATAAGTGATATCCAAACTATTGCCTGCTGGCAAGACAACCCAACAGAATACAAGCACAGGATATCCATTTTATTGACAAGTATACAAGATGAGCCAACACACACCAAGGAAAATGTAAAGTAATCCTCTGATTCAGTGAAAATGGGAATTAGCAAGCTTCAGGGTTTGCCGCTTGCACTCAGTACAAGTTCAAAAACAATGTAGAGCAAAGAGCTTTGTGCTAGGCCTTGCATTTAAAATCCACCTATGCTGTAGAATCAACACTACATCCTCCATCAGCTTATAGCAATACTAAGTAACTGAATCACAGAATGGTTTGGGTTGGAAAGGAAATTAAGATCGTCTAGCTCCAATCCCCTGCCATGCGCAGGGACACTTTCCACTAAACCAAGTTGCTTAGGGCTCTGTCCAATCTGGCCTTGAACACTGCCAAGGATGAAGCATTCACAACTTCCTTGAGCTGCTGCTTGCAGTACCTTACCAGCCTCACAGTAAAGAATTTCTTTGTTATAGTTAACAGATCTCCCCTATTTTACATCGTAACTCTATTATACATTATCATTCCTATAAATATTGTAGCTCAATGGACCTGCGTAGTTTGATTTAAAAAGTGACAATCTACACGTCACAGTACTTTTACTTAGTAAAGCTCCAAATTTGGAAGGTATAAAATTTATGGCCTGTATCTCCTTTCTCATTAGTAACTCCCAGATACACAGCAAGTTACTGGGGACCAGCAACTTTGCATCTGTCAGTTGAGCTATAGTACTGAGCTACAGTAACTGACTGTGCTTCTCAGCTGATGTTCAGTAGCATTTTACACAAAGGAACTAGCACGCAAGTTTTGAGTACACAACAAACTCCAGTCTGTTCCAGGACAGCTGTGTTATTTGTTCTTATGATTTTCTAAAAAGTGATATCGAAGAAGATAATTTGTTTTTTAAACAGTACTAGTTTCAATGCAGAAAAAGGATAATGTTTTGATAAATATTTCTCATTATTATTGTGAGTTTTGGTAGCAGAAGTAGATACATACACCAGAATTAGTTGGAAGTAAAGGTCCTAGAGCCAACCTTTTGTATTAGCAGCCAAATTCAATTAATTCAATTAATTCAATTAATTCCTAATCACAGTGCTCAGATTCCAGACTTGATTTTTCCTCCCCACATCAAAATATAACTGTGACCATGGGTTTTTTTATCAGTTTTGGCTTCAGCCTTGCAGAACTTACTCATCAGTACCTCACCGAAAGTCAGACAGATACATGTTAGATTCACATTTGGAAAGCAGTCCGTTCACACCCTTCCAATACAAGCCTGTGCACTACTAACTCTCCGGGCACATAGAATCATAGAATCATAGAATAGTTAGGGTTGGAAAGGACCTTAAGATCATCTAGTTCCAAGCCCCCTGCCGTGGGCAGGGACATAAGACAAGTAAAACTCAAGGACATCTTTAATCATCAAAGTTCTCCATGAACTTCCATTCCCAGAAATCTGGTGTTGACCATTTCTTGTGCAAATGCACTAAGACTTACCAGAGCTCACTCATTGCCCTAAAAACGTCAATCTTCAGGCTTGTTTCTGTTGTTACTTCTGTTATGTGGGCTGTGAGGCAGACCATCTCCCACTTGCAAGAGTAGCCAAGTCAATTCTAAATATCTCCAGAGAGCTCACTTCACTATTAAAATAACAGCATTTTTCCAGCTACCACCTCTAGAGAGAATTTCACTTTTGCAAGTTTCATACATCTCAATTTTTCATGGTCAGCCTCAGAAAACTCTGCTCATCTATAAACAACCATCATCTTCCAATATCGCCAAATGCAGCCAAAGCCAGTAACTGACCTCAGCAAGAGAACATAGACGTATGTGACCCCTCATGGGGACAGAGTGTATATTCCGCGTGCAAATATGGTTTTTGTTACTTTCAGGGTGCCTAAGCTTAGAGATGCTATCAACTATCCAACATTTACATCAACTGGATCCAAAGAACCACCTGTGTTAATTACACTTACGTTATACCAGTAAATACTTGAGGGCCAGGCATGCCAAATAACTTGGAAGATATTGCCAATACCCATCTACTGATGTGCCTGTGCCTTGGCATCCAAGAGGAAAGATCTGCCATCTGAGCAGTCAGGGAAACACTCTGCCCCACCTTCAGTAGGGACTGCATGTGCATGCAAGTACACATTATTTGGACAACATTCAGCACAGAAGTTTCATGGGGACAACCCATGACCTCTCTCAGTCAGTGCTCAGGTGAAAGAACAGGATTCCTGACCTTACATACCACCTATATTCGTTACCACAACTTTAATGTTAAGTAGGTAACTTGAGGCCTGTGTACATGGGCCAGCTATGGTAGCTACTGTCAATACAGACCTTAGTGAAAAACTGTCCTCAAAAGCAGAATCAGAACTTCCACAGCAGTCCTAAAAAACAAAATGTATTTATTTATTTGAAGAAGTAAGAGCTATGGCCAGTGACACATGCATGCAAGCAAAAAGTGACATCCTAAAATTGGAGGAAAATATTTAAGTTCCTGCAATGGTAAATGTAAATCAGTTCTGAGACCCAGCCATCTAATTGTCCATTAAGATATCAAAAAACAGATTCTTCTTTTAATTTAATAGTCTTCTAAAAGAGAACCTAAGAAAATGCTAAGCATTACTCATGGAGGAACTACAGGACAGAGCTTTCAACTCATGACTCATTCAATAAAAGTGAAAGCCGTTCATAAGCAGATTCTGAAAAGTTTCAAAGCAGAAGACGAATTTACCTATAAAAAAAAAAAAAAAAACAACAAAAAAACCCCCATACATTTCAGTAAGAAGTGGAAAAAAATGGTTACTGGAAACATAGGGCAATGATTACAGCTAGTGAATGAAAATAAGGATATAATTCTGCTTTCCACAAGGTTTGTCACCAACTTCCTCCCAGCCAAGCAGCAAGTTATTTAACCTCTCCATATTCTGATATCAAATTCTATATCAAATTTTTCTGCTCTCCTCAGCACAGTGGCAGATTAAATTTGCAATAATGGGGGGTCGGGAAGGAAGGGTTTTTTTTTATTTACAGCCCTTGAACCTTAACTTGATTTTAAAGTATCTGCCCGAATCTAATTCCAAGAAAATAAGAGTTCATATGTGTGAGTGGAATTCCTAGCGCACAGAAAAAAAAAAAAAAAAAATTAAAAAGTGAAATAGTTGACCACTGACAGGAGATGACTAAGAACTCAGTAGAGAATAAACGTGGAAAAATAGGTCAGGAACCT